TTTCGGTGATTATTTTATAGTGCTATTTTGTTGTAATTATGCCCCCAAAGTCGCAAAGAAAATTGGTCTGGTGTATATATAAAGAAGTGCAAGACCAACCAAGAAAAAAAATCAGAAGCTGGGCTAACAAGATAAAAGGCCCAAATAGGTTCATTTGGGTTGGGTTTTAAAGGAAGCAAGATTTATATTTCCTTCTATTTTATTTTTAAAGAAAAATTAATTTAAGTTTTGAATCCTTCCAATCTTTCAAAACTCCGTTCGATCTGTGATCCGAAAATAATTTTCAAGAACTAAAATAGGATTCAAATTTTTTAGTTTTATTTAATATTTGAAAATATGTTTTGAATGCCAATTTAAGTGAAATGACATAGCAAAAGTATTCTTCTAGCATTAAAGTTATGCATAGGTTGAAGACTGAAGAAGCTGTTGATTTACATATGACACAATTAGTGGAAATGAACAAAAAGAAAGTGAATCTTCCTAGTGATCTTGAAATCCTAGTCCATATTAACCATAGAAATAGCATAATATATCCAATTACCCTCATATCTCATCCCTTGGTACAACTCATCTTCTCTCTAAACCATTCAATTTTCAAACAAACAATCGTACCAACAAAGTAGAGTGATTTTGATTTCACATCTGAAAATTCAGTGATCTATCATTCAATTTATTTTATTTTATTATAGATCATATATAAAAATTCAATTTCATAGTTTTGGTGTCTTAGATTTGCATCGATTTTTTTTTCTTATTATACGTTATAATATTCAATAAATATCATTTTTTTATAGTAAAAATGCTTATTATAAGTATATTTGGATGATGATTTGGTTTAGACCTCGTATATATTGTGTTGAAAAAAATTTCAATTCCTGTGAAAAATTTTCTTTATACCAATAAAATATTTCAATTATTAGGAATTTAAAATTTCTGGAATGGTTTCCCACCTTGTAAATCGAAATGAAATCTTTTAACTTAAATTAATGAGATAAAACTAATTTCAAACATCCAACCATTTATGTTCATCAATGTAAGGATCAGGATAAATTCTGAAATGACATTAAAAATTAAAAATAATTTTAAAAGGTGTTGCGGTATGCAAAAAATCAAAATTAAAAATAATAATAATGCAACAACAACTCTTTCACAACCAGTCAAGATATCATGAAACATATGAGCAAAACAATCTCTCTTTATCTTGCTCATATTAACTTGAACAAAAGTTATATATATTTGGTAATAAAGCCATTTTAATTTTTAATATTTCAAAAACTAATTATATTAGATTCCAATGTATAGTTATTGATATTGATAAGATGTCTTTGAGTACTATAGTCTATCAATAATATGCAAAGCAGAACCAGAAATTTTGGTCAGTGGTGTCGACATTAAACTATTAAAAAAAAAAAAAAAACCGTGGAGAAAAATACTTTTTATAATATTTAAGATAGAATCTTACATGCAGTTAAAGCCTGTTTAATATAAAATTCAAATACAATTCTTCGTTATTGAAAACAAGATATTAAACAAATCTTATGAAAATGCATTTGGTAAAAATGAGTCATTTTCGAATACATTCTAAAAAACTAGTGTAAAACGATTAAAAGTTGTTTTCACAATTTTACGTAGTTATTAATCTAAAAACGGTTTTTAAATATTATGTCAAACCCATTTTCAAATATTAAAAATATTAAGATTATAACTTAAAACTTGAATCGTATTTTAGTTTTTAAAAATTATTTTTAAATCACAAATCAAATAATATATATAACTATTTGTATGAAATTAAGACATATAAAAAAATTTATTTAATATGATTTCAAGTTAAAAAAAAAAAAAAAAAAAAAAAAAGAAGAGAGAGAAAAAAAAAGTGGATCATATTGATCATGAAGGCTTTAAAACACATTGTTGAACAACGTTCACAAGACAATTTACAATTTTAAATACTCTCAATAATTTTAACATTAAATAATGAATATGAGACATGTGAAGATAATAATTGATATCGAAATTTATCACATGTTATTTTTAATTTTTTATCAAAAAGTGTCCGAACCACTAAAAACCCTTTACGAATATATTATGTAAATACTTAGATATCTGTTGATAAGAATCTGTATCTCATATAAATAATAATAATATTATAATTATAACATTAAATAATGAATATGAAAAATATAAAGATAATAATTGATGTTGAAATTCATCACATGTTATATTTATAAAAAAGATAATATTAAAGTGTTAGTTGGCATAAAAATATACAAATGTTGTGAAGGAATTAATATAGTTGGATTTTTTAATTAGGAGCATAAAGGTCAATTTACAATTTTAAAATCTCTTAGTACTTTTAACCTTAAATAATGAATATGAAACATGCGAAGATAATAACTGATGTCGTAATTCATCACATGTTATTTTTATAAAAAAAGATAATATTAAAGTGTTCGTTGGCATAAAAATATACAAATGTTTTGAAGGAATTAATATAGTTGGTTTTTTTAATTAGGAGCATAAAGGTCAATTTACAATTTTAAAATCTCTCAGTACTTTTAACCTTAAATAATGAATATGAAACATGTGAAGATAATACTTTATGTCGTAATTCATCACATGTTATTTTTATCAAAAAGAATCTGGACCACTAGAAACTCTTTACGAATGAAAACAAATTAACAAATTCATACTGGGTTATCATGTGAGTGCAAGCAGTGGTCACATGATGAAAAATAGTGGCACTTTTATAATTTTAGTGGTGCAATAAAATAAAATAAACTAAGAGGTATTGAAAAGTAAAAGATCAGAATAAAGAGGCTTTTATTAACTCGCTCTTATTGTGTTGTGTCTAGAATGAAAGAAATTGGCTAACTTGATGTCTTTCCTCTCACAAAAGCCAATTATCCAATGACAAATCATGAGTCATATGTATTCATGTCGACTTGCATGGGCGATGCGTCTTCAAGTGAAAATGCATGCATGGGTTATGTGTCCATTTGACAAGCAAGGTGACAAATGGTTGGAAAGCCAAATATTTTTTTTAACACTCCCTCTAGATTTCCACCATTTACAGATAATTGTTTTTAACCTTACTCAGAAAAAACTCAGTGAGACAAAAATCTAAGTAAAAAAATACAATTTTATAATGAAACTGTAAAGTGGTGTTGGACTTGCTTCATACAATCTCATTAAAAACATTGCCAGGAAAGATGCAATAAGACAAAACCTGATCAAGGGAAAAAGATATAGTGCACATATAACCAATACAATAGTCCTTTTCCAAAAAAACCTTTTAATTGAAGCTCCCTCAATCAATGCGCCCCCTTATAATGGCAAAATTAACTTGGTTACTTAATAAGCTATCGCATATCGATGTCATACACTAACTTTTCAAATGTTGATGTCGATAAGATCTTAGTGAATAAATCTGCAAGATTATCAGTGAAGCATATTTGTTTGATATCAATCTCTCGATTTTACTAGAGTTCGTGAGTGTAAAAGAACTTCGGTGAAATATGCTTAGTTATGTATCCTTTGATATATATATCATCTTTTGACTTGAGCAATACATGTTGCATCGTCTTCATTTGTAATTGTAGGAGTATCTGAGGTACATGATAACTTGCATGTATTCATGATATGATGAATGGCAAATCTTAACCATATGCATTCTCGAGTGGCTTCATAAGCACATGAATCTCAAAATGATTGGAAGAAGTGGTTGTTTTTTATGAAACGACGACAGAAATGCAAAGCAATGTTGAGGGAGGAACAACTAGCAACTAGGGAAAGCCGAAATGAGGCAAGAGAAGACCGATTAGTGACAAAAATTGGAAGAAAAGTGGTTGGAAGATGAAAGGACATGCAGTTGGCAGTGGGACGGCAAGGAGATGACAGAGATGAAGAAGATAAAGAAGATCGATGTTTGGGGAGGTGGATTGTCGCCGGAGGTCGCCAAAAAATGAAGGTGAGGAGTCTAGGGTTTGGGGTGTGCACTGGCTACCCTTTTTATGACCTCTCACTTTGGAAAATGTAGTTCCAGTCCTTGCACAAAACAAAAGTAACAAAATCAACCCCAAATGTAAACATCCTAAACAACACAAAAGAGACAAAATAAACCTTGATCAATAAATCACACCTTAATATTGACTTATTAATCTCAAATTTCAATCCAAACATGCAAGATTGAAATAAAAAATCAGAAAGTGATTAGCATGAATAATTTTACAATTTCCTTTATTGTCTCAATATAATTTCTTTTTCAAATACAAATGGGGTTTTTTAATCACTTTAATAGAGTCATTTCATGATTCTAATAGAAAGCCACATATTTCATAATAGGTGCATTAGTTTACTATTAGTTTTTACAGTAGAAACAAACAACACAAGATTTTTATGACCTGAGTAATTAAATCAATTTGAATTACAACTTGTTCACGATTGTGCCCATCGTAATACTTAAAAGATCATGTTATAAAAATTATTTTTAATATAGTTGACTTTTTTAAAAGATCATGTTATGGTAATTTAAAATTTTAACTTAATTTGAAACACAAATTAATCATAAATATATTGAAATCTAACTAGAAAGGAAGTTGGAGGTAGGTATTTTCTTTGCCACTTGATCTACTCTTAAACCATTATTGTAAGGATAAATGGCTGAAAGTTTGTATCAAAAATTTAAGTCATAAATGTATGCCGATATAGCCTAACCATTTTTGGTGTTATATTTGTATAATTATCATAACTGATATAATATAATGTAATATTCGAAGACTAGAAAACATAATATAACACTAATAATTATAAAATCTTCGTATTAATTTGTAGAAAAGAGTTTTTAGTTTTTACAATATAAAACAACCGGGACATTTAAAAGACATGGTGGCATATAAGACAAAACAAGCGGGGCAATGTATTCATGAGAAAAGATGCGTATTGTTCCATTCAAGTATAAATATAACATGGGAGAGGAGATGGAGATGAAGGAGAAGGTGGAAAAGGAGCAATGGGTAGTACTGAAACAACAACAAAAGATAAGATCCTTATATTTGGAGGAACTGGATACATAGGCAAGTATGTGGTGAAGGCAAGCGTTTCTTTAGGCCATAAAACATATGTTTATGCTCGTCCAATCTCAGAGAAAACCAGTCTCTCCAAGCTACAACTACACAAGGAGTTTCAGTCCCTCGGTGTCATCATTGTCCAAGTAATTAATTAATACTCCCTCTCTCTCACTCTTTTTATTCCATATATTAAGTAAGTTAAAAAGGAGAAATGAAAATGCAGGGAGAGCTAGATGAACATGAGAAACTTGTAACTGTAATTAGGGAAGTGGACGTGGTGATATCTGCACTAGCTTATCCTCAAGTTCTTGACCAATTCAAGATCATAGATGCTATCAAAGTTGCTGGTAATATAAAGGTAATGTTAAAAAAAAAAAAATATATATATATATATATATATTGTTTATTTTATTAAGATTCAAGGTTTTCATTTAGGAATTTTTATTTAATTAGTAATAACCAGCTTATTTATCTTTGGTAGAGGTTTCTTCCATCAGATTTTGGATGTGAAGAGGACAGGGTGAGACCTCTACCTCCATTTGACAATTTTCTAGAGAAAAAGAGAAGAATCAGAAGAGCAATTGAAGCAGCTGGAATTCCTTACACCTTCGTTTCAGCTAATTGCTTTGGCGCTTACTTTGTTAATTTCTTGCTTCGCCCATATGACCAACCAGAGCTTATACTTGTCTACGGAAGTGGTGAAGCAAAAGGTAATATTTATTTCAACAAAATATTATATCATAATTTCACAATAAGTAGATAGTAAAATAAGGGGTTTTCTCCACCCACTAAGGTTTAATTAAATAACAATATTCCCTCTAAAATTTCAAAAGTAACATAAATCTCTCATCCTTTACTGTGCCGTTAGAATTTGTAACATGATAGGTTAATAAATATTTACATAATTACCTTTTGTCATTTACTTTAATACCAAAAACTTAACGATAGATAGATTTTTGTTATTACAATAACTACTGGGGAATTCTTCGCTATGCAATTAGACGTAACCCTTAATTTGGCATTAACGTCTATATGCAACTGTGTTAAATTATGAAGAAGATATAGCCATATGCACAATCAAAGTGGCAAATGATCCTAAAACGTGCAATCAAGTTGTGATTTATCGTCCTCAAACAAATGTCATATCACAGCTTGAATTGATCTCACTTTGGGAGCAAAAGACTGGCCGTACTTTCAAAAGGGTTCATATTGCAGAGGAAGATTTAGTGAAACAAGCTGAGAGTAAGAACTTCGACTGCAATTTATTCATTCCATTTACTCTATAGGTTAAGCATTTAATTTCAAAATTGTCTGATTTATTTGTGGGTAAAATTTTCATTAATTTTTTAACAATCACATATTAAATTTAATGCTTCAATGTTTTAATTGCAGCCCTACCACATCCAGAAAATATACCAATATCCATTCTGCACTGCATATTTGTAAAAGGTGAAACGATGAGCTTTAGACTTAATGAGAATGACGTTGACGCTTCTAAGTTATATTCAGATTTTCAGTTCTCCACAATTGATCAACTTCTTGACATATTTTTGTTTGATCCTCCGAGGCCTGCAATTGCTGCGTTTGAAGTCTTACATATTTATTTCCATTTCTTTCTTTTCGAATAAAAGTTTTATTGTACTTTCTTTGTTGTAGAATAATATATATGTTTAGCTATATGAATTTGAGTTGACATCAGTAAGTTCAACCGTGATAAATTTAATTCGTTGTTTGAGTTTATAATGGCCTTGTCATTGGAGGAATCTCTTCAAGTTATGGTTGAGACGTAAGACAAAATCAGTATCCAAGATATATCTATAGTAGATTAATACACAACCTGTATAAGAGGCAATTGCTTCTTAATCATAAAATACTTCAAAGATGAATATGTTCCCATGCAATAGTATAGAATTCTTGACATGTATCGGATTGGAATAACCTGCCCTTTCATAATCTTAATTCTACACCAAAGAATTTATGGCCTCTACCATATAGTTATTTATCTTTACTTGGTTATACATGAAGCATCAATACTCTTTTTGGTTTCTCAAAAATTTCATAAAATAGGTTATTTAATCACCCCCAAAATTGTAAAGGATCCAATGAGTTCAACCTTGATTATTTATTAAAAGAGTCAATTAGGCAAATGCATCTATGGTAACTAGAATGGATATCTCATATTTGAAAACTGCTAGATCATCATGTTAATCCTCGCGCTAATTTTATTGGTCATAAGGAGAAAAGTTTAGGTTATCAAATTCAATGGTTAGTTTTATAAGTGATTTTCTAAGTTGAGGATATTCAACTCTTGGGTTTGCTTATTTAACATTACGAATTTTAGCTTAAAGATATTAAACTTACATAATAAGCTTTTCTCAATTTCGTATTATCACTCATATAATAGCTAGTTAATTTGATAATATTATGTAATTATTGGCATTACGTGATAAATGAGATAATTATCACAAATCATTATATTACACGTTGTACGATATAAGAGAAATCTTTTAGATAGTCATAGAGAAAAATATTTAGGTTTTTTATTGGACAAAAATAACCATAAAATAGTTTGAGTAACTATATTACCCTTAATAAAAAATGTTAAGAACAAAAGTAACTAAGATATATTTTCCTCTTTTGTAAATGTTAGATTAAAACACAGTCTAACATGTTTTTAATTAGTTTATTCAACATCAAATTATATGGTTTAATGTGGTTTAGCATAGTTTAGCATTTTATAAATTTAAGATATTGAATATAATAAAGATCAAGTACTCGATTTTTTTCACTTAGAGAAATGAAATCAATTAATATGATTTTTTGGTTATTTTTATATGCATTTGTCTTTGTAAGGTTTTTTTGTCCACTTATGAAGTTATGTGTGCACATTATTTACTGATGTTTGCACATTAAGTTGTTTAAAGCACAATTATGTATGTAGTTTACATATGTAGTAACATATTGTATAAATGTGTACAAATTTCCTTTGTTCAAACATATTGCAAATATGTGCGCACATTTTACTTTGTTGTGTAAACATTTTTCTAATCAGATCTCTTAGTACAGGTGTCATGTTTTCATAACTTGTTAAGATATTTTCCAATTCTGAAATCTGTGTGAAAGGTTCATTTACATGTGTCTGATTTTTCAGAAGTGGTCTAGGAAAGTTGTTTATGCTTTTTCAAAAGTAGCCCAACAAAGTCGTTGAGATCTTTCCTAAAATAGTCCAACAAGTATCAGCCTTTGTCGGCTGAGTGTGCTAGGAGCTTGTTGAGCAAGGATTATATGATATCTTCTTCTTCCTTGTGTTTTCCTCAAACCTCAATATTCCATTAATTGTTCTCTGAAAATTCCTAGAGAGTTTATTCATTTTCTCAAGTTCCTTTTGTTGGAACATGGTTCCTTTGTTGAAAGCTTGAAGGTAGTTCAAGTTGTGGAGCTTAAAGTTGATTTCAGTCATTGAAGCTTGAATGGAGCTTGAACTGTCCAGATGGTTTCTTAGACTCAAGCAACCTATGGAAGAATGTTGGAGTAATTAGAGGGTGGAGTTAGAGTCTTGTAGAACAGAGAGTTGTTTACAATTGTTATATTTAATTTCAACTATGTATTGACTTAGAACGTGTTTGTTATAGTTGATTTGCTTCACCTAGACATGGTCCCATGGATTTAGGCTGTTAGTCGAACCATGTAAAAATCCTTGAGTGCTTTACTTTTTGCTCGTGCTTAATATTGTGTTAATGTTAAATGACCATTCCTGCAAGCATTAACGAACACAATCAACCAATTTCGCAAAGAACAATGCTAGTTTTACAAAGACACATATAAAGGGGGCATACAAAGACAATCTTCACCCTTGATTTTCATGATTTCTCTCTCTCTCTCTCTCTCTCTCTCTCTCTCTCTTTCTCTTTTTCCGTTTTTTTCTTTGTTTTTTTTCTTTTGGATGATGTCACTTTGTAGCCCTCTTTGTATGAGTCTTTGTAAGGATAACATTTTTCTTTCGCAAATGTCTAATGGACCCCTTTAAACAAACTTTCGGTCTTTTAAAAGAGCAAACAACATGTTCCCACCCAAGGTTTAGCCAAATTCCAAGTTTATATCCCTGACTCCATTTTTTTCATATTCCCACCCTTAAACTAACACTGTAAGTTAATTTTTAATGTTAACTTGTGCAATTACAATTATGTCCTTCATTTTTATTTCACCCCACCATCACTCTCACCATCCAGCCACCACCACCCACCAAACCCACTCAACCACCGTTCAAGCCCAATTTGGCCTAATTTTCCACACCAATTAACCAACCCAACACCACCATCAGAATCCTCACATCTCCCTCTCCAAAACCCCTCTTATCTCTGATTGTTTGCTGCCCTTCATTTTTTTCAAATGTTCTCCCTATTTCAGAACAAATTTTGGGTCTTAAAAATGAGCAAGAAATTAACATTTGACAAAAAAAAAAAAAAAAAAAAGGGAAAAGAGGAAAAGAAGCATAAGAAATAAAGAAATAGTGACATGTTCGACAAAACAAGCGAGACGATGGATTCGTGAGAAAAGATGCATATTGTTCCATTCAAGTATAAAGAACTTTTTTTTTCTTTCTGCGATGTTAATTTTGAATTTCTAAAATCTTTAATGACAACAATTAGTAAAATGCGCAGGCCGAACCTTTTTTCAATTCTTTTTCTTACTTATTTATTCATGTTTTATCTAATTTAGAAGAGTAACTTAAACCCACTATAGTCTAATGAAATAACAAATTTCCCTCAAAATTTAGAAATAACACATATACCCTTACCGTTAATGAGCCATTAATAAATCATTAAACTTTAACGTATGATGAGTTAATGAATAATTACTTATTTTCTCTCTACTGTTTATTTTAATACAAAAGACATAATGGTATGAGAATTTCAATTATTACAATAATCACAAAGAGATTTTTTCTTCAAGTAGTATACCTAAAAAGGATTAAGCCGTTTTATAAAATTAAAAAAAAAATTGGAACACTCCAAGCTTGTCCTACTATAATTTTACTCCTACAATTGGTTAAATCTAATAGCAATCAACTATTAGTTTTGATTATTTTAAAAAATATTTTCGTAACTGCTATATCTTTTTATAAAGGGTTTTTTAATTCCAAAAAAGTTAAATCTAACTTGATAATGTCTCTTTTTTTTTTTTCAATATATAATTTTTTTACCTGCCTATTATACGGTGGTAATTTAATTTTAATATGATGCAGATATAATATGGTAATTTTGGAATAAAATTAATAAGGAAAATGGGTGTATAAAATCCAATTACCGACTGATCCACTCTTATTCTGAATGTGTGAAAATATTAATTGACTCTCAAAATATGTCAAAACATTAGCCTAATCTTATTATGAATTCTAATCATGAGCACCATATCTTTATTTTAATTGGTGTGTCCAAACCAGCTAAGACCAACTAAGAGAATGGGTATGGGCTGTATATATAAAGAAGTGCAAGACCAACTAAGAAAAAAGTCAAAAGTTGGGCTAAATAAAATAAAAGGCCCAAACAGGTTCAGCCCAAATTAATTTGGGTTGGGTTTTAAAGGAAGTAAGATTTATATTTCCTTCTATTTTTTTTTAAAAGAAAGATTAATTTAAGTTTCGAATCCTTCCACTCTTTCAAATACTCTAGCTATAGTCCGTTCCATTTGTGATCCGAAAATAATTTTCAAGAACTAAAATAAGGTTCAAATTTATGAGTTTTATCTTAATATTTAAAAAAACTATTTTGATATATATTCAAATGTTGTTTTCTTATTAAAAACTAAAAAAAATAACAAAAATAAATAATAATAAATAAATAATTTTTTAATTTTACACTAAATTTTAAGATTCCAAAAACTGATTGCGAAATCTTATAAAAAACAATATTTAAATTTTATATCAAACAAGTCTCTCTTAAGATTTTATTGTAATTTTGTTCTCATTTTTTTTCCTTCCATTGATTTATAGAATCCAGATATTAGCTTATTCATTTCCTTTTATTGACATCTTATTCTTTTGTTGTGCGGTAAATCAGAAAAGGAAAGGATGATTTCTAATTTGGCTAGAAGATGTCACATGATTAGGACTTTGCAAATCAAAGGGTGAAGATCAAGTCAATTTCTTGTTTCATTGATTTTGTATTTATTTCTAATTCAAACTTGTAATGGGTACAGTATATAAACCAAAACCCTAGTTTGTTTAGACACATGAAAGTTATTACGCCTTTCATATACACATAGAGGTTTATTAGTCGAGAGCTTGAGAGAAGAGATAACTTGAGAGAATCCTTGAAACAATTCTTTGTAACTCAACTCGCTGTTCTCACAAACTTTCAATAATATATCAGTGGACGTAGGATTTTACATGATAAACATCAGAATCTCTCTAAAAAATCTTCTTTTATTTTTTGTATTTGACGTTTAATTGTTCATATCTAGTCGCTTTGTCCAATCTTTGATCCGTTAAGGTTATGCAAGCATTCTATGTGATTCTAACACTATGAATCACATACCTCTCGTTTTCAAACTTTGGAATCAAGTTTTTAAGAAAAATTTAAAATTTTTGTTGAAACATTATGTATTTTCCTATGTATGCAATTTTGAG